CAAAGTGCTAATGAAACATTTTGCTAATAAAATTAAGACAAATATGCAATCTACTCTCCAGTGATGAAATCTAAATTTCAATATTTATTTTTAAAGTTGATACTAGCATAATTTTTTTTTTATAATATTGATGGACACCTAATGTTCACAATGCTCACCTCAGTCAAATTGCTTTCTCTGAGTCTCTCAGCCCCCTGTCTCTCACATCAAGTAAATATTTAAAAAAAACCTCTTTGTGGCCCTAAACCAGGTTTTGAGTGTTACATTATATATGTATTGACAACTGCATTTACTAAACATAAATTTGTCAGATTAGTATTCCCTTTTCAATGTAGTTCCCTTGTTATGCTCCAACCATGACCACCCCCCCCCCCCAAAAAAAAAAAGAAATCAACCATTGAACCTACATTGTACAATAGTAACAATACAAATGAGGATACACTCTATAAAACTAAATGCATATAAATGTGGACATCTTTCCAATGCTGATCTGGTAATTTTTGTTTACTTAATTCTTACAAATAAAATCTCAATATATTGGTCAAGAGATATTTGAGAAAAAAAAAACATTTTTGACTGTTCTGAAATACACCTATGACCTATTATGATTAAAAAAACATTCAGCAAATTGACAGATGCTCATCTGAAAAAAAAAACTGTGTGTTACTCACAGAAAGCTGTGATTTTAGACATTGGTTTTACATACATGTATTTTTAAAGTCTGAAGTCTTTTTTTGTAATGACAGTGAGATAAGAACTACATGATAAATTTTAAAATAATCAGTCCTTGAAAACTTATGTATTAAAAGATTCACAAGATTAATCCCTATACACATGTACATTGCACGCACTTAAAGATATTGTATCATATGATGTGTAAATTTTAATTTGAATACACAGCCCTTGTAGCAGACAGATAATGAAATGAATTCTTTCTGATTTAGAAATCTATTACAGAGTAATATATTTCAAAGTAAAACACTGAATGGAGTTCTCTTATTTTACATTATATGATTGATATTCTGTTACCAACATTATCTCAAAATCCTATATGTAAAACATCACAGGAAACAACGCAGCTAGTATGAAATATATGGAGATAACGAACAGTATTCAAGCTCAAAAGTCCATAATCAATACAAAATAGGAGCATATATATAACGAACAAAATTGATGTTCCAAAGATGGCACTATTGGGCTCAGATTTACACTGTATCCTCACTGGCAAGAGTCTGGGTTTACCATGGATTTCTTTTTAGTTTAGAATTTCAATGCAATTTTCACATGATATTCCTCAAAGACCAACAATAATAAAATGCAGTTTTAGAAGATCATTCAGTATGTTTAGAACATTCAACAATTAGAAAAAAATTATTATAACAGTGACAAATTACAAAACAATACTTATAAATCTTTTCTCTGTTGCCAAGGATGGCAAACCTTACCCTATCTGCAAACATTGCCCTCTCTAAGTTCAAAGAAAGAAATTAAGATATTTTTATCAAACTTCATGTGCTGATACATATTGTGGAGAGCTTTCAACTTCATGAACATTTTTTGATCTTGACCTCACTTTCTGAGTTAAGCTCAGTTTCAAAGAAACTATTCTATTATATATTTTTTATGTAAGCTTCTGCACTGATACATTATTTGGTGAGAATTTATCAAATTTGTCCAATTTTTTTTAACCTTGACCTTCCCAATAACCTTTGACTTTAACATTTATTATGTATAAAACCAAATTTTAAAGAAATTATTCAAGATATTTTCATCAAACTTCATACACTGATACAAATTTTCATGCTGCATTACTAATGAACCCTGGGTGGAACATTCATGTCCTATGGACATATCTCTTTTTTTTTTAAACATATTTCTGGTTGCATGGTCTAATTTCCTTATCCATTACTAAGAAACCTGAACTAATATCAGGCACATAACAACTTGACTTACTTAAATAAATTATCAAGAATATACATGATACAAATCAAAGCAAGTTTAGTATTGCAAATGCAATATGTCAATTAATTTTTGTTATGTATACATATCAAATTGTGATCAAGAACAGCTTAATATTAAATTATGAGAGGGGACCTGCTTTAGAAACTCTATATGCATTGACCAAAGATGCCTTGAGCTGATCATTGTCATCAAAGCATTTAAATGACATGCCATGCACATCATTATCTAAACAAGCTCCTGGATATCCAAATGACTTACTTCTCTCTTGCTCTTCTTTTGTAATAATGGGGAGACTTGTGTTCATATTTGCAGTCCATTTGCACCTATAACTTATATCCACACCATTATGAATCTTGAGTTTTTTTATTCTTGGCATTGACTCCCCCTGTAAACAAAATTTTACAAGTACCTGTATTAATAAATTCATTGACAAATGGTGTTAAGAACGAAAAATTTTAGTGTTTATAAGCAAGAAACTTGAAATTAAAAAAGAGGAACTGCACATAGATACAAATGCATGGGCTATTAACAAACTTACTTGATTCCTTTGTGCAAAACTAAGGGCTGTATTAAATTGCATCTCAGAACATCTATGGGAAACTAGCTAAGGATATGACACCTACAATATGAAAAATATTTAATTCATAATCATTTAATCAACAATAAATACACAATACTTGAAGCTTTCCATTAATTCCTGTTACTTTTATTGAAGAAGAAAATGGTAGCAAACATTTTCCTATTGCTTTTCCTCCATGTCCTCTGAAAGTGCTATTTAAACATATAAAAAAAACTGCAATTTTTGGGAGGGTTTAGTCCATGTAATTGGATTTGGAGTTAGAAACCTCGAGATTATGACATAAGTCATGTAAAATTTTATTATACTATAGGGTAAGTTTTTATTACAGAAATAAGTGCATGTGTCTAGATATATATATCATACAGTGTCAAAACTGATGCAAAACAAATTTTGGAAACAATTTCACACAGTCACATGAATAGTTTATTTTTCTGACTAATGACTATTCAACATGTCCAATAACTTAAGTATTTTAATAAAAATTAGACTTCAAAACATTGCAGTTAAAGACCTGGACACACTTTTCCATGATGTGTTTTTAGGTCCAAAACAATGTTCCATACAATGTGCGGCCCTAATACTCGACAGTACAGCAAACAATCTCCTATTATTATGAGGCTCCTGAAGGAAATTTTATAACTAACTACTTTTTCTTTCTACCTGCTGAACAATATTGCACGTGTACTTACTTTCCGAATGTAATAATTACAATGTGTTATTGAATATATCACAACTTGCTTAACATTTTTAAATTTAAAAAATTTCACCCTCCTTGCAGAGCCCCATTTAAAAATAGTCTCTATGTACAAACACAACTTAATGGAGAGGCAATTCGGAACGTGAAGTCAAGAATTTTAACTGATATCTGATAACCGATCAGAAATCACATAGATATATGACATTTTTAGAAACTCTGCAAGTCTGCAGAAAATTATTACACGTTCATTGCAAGGATTAAAACAAAGAGTCACGTTTTTACACACCCGAAATGTGTCTTACCTTCTATCAGCTGTTTTCACCGGAAACTTCTTCTATCGCCATAGAAAAGAGATCCGCCGTAAACACATACGTTTAGAACTGTTTAATCTTTTCCCATTAGTTTGAAAGGAGTCAACAAACTAATAAGACTTGTTCTAAGCAAAATTCGATTGTAATAAATGCATCTATCCACAAAAGAAATATGCATATGCCAACCACGTGCTCCGTGAATGATATGACTGAGGAAACTCGAGTGATAAACAGGACATTTTTTCCCGGTTTGCGAGAGATGGGTTAAAATCGCGTTCTGTCATTAATCAGACGATGCGATGCAACAAATAAAAGATGTAAGTTGTATAAACTAAGGACCATTACTTAGATATGTCTTGTGTTGATGTCGTTACTGTCTCATTTATTCTAAAAACAATGTTATTTGAACTCTGTGTGACAGAGGAATGGCGGACATAATAAACGCATGGCCTCAGGGAGACCACCATACGAAAAATCAAATTTTCAAAAATTATGGACAACGACAAGAAAATAGCAAAACAAATGGTTGTAGCCATATTATTAATAAACCGAACTGACATCATTTTCATTGCATTATTCATCTCCTGAATGCTGTGGCTGCGCAGTTCTAACATGATTAATTTTCACCAAATGCAAACAATAGAAAAATAATTATTTAATAATTTTGGTCTCTAACAGTAGGTAATAAGTGCATTAGCACTTTGAGTAACTTTGAGCTGGTTTGGTAATATATTAAGCGCATTCTCGGTATTTCTTATTTTAGACCAGAATACATCCAAGATGGCTTGTACATCCCCCTTAAAACCACGTGTTTTATTCATTTGCTCATGGGTTTGTCTAAATGCTGTTATCTGATTGGTCAGAAGGATTTGCGCCTTGTTTATTCTGTATATTAATAGCAATTCACGGTTATCGTTCTTGACTTCCATATTTGGAAATCGTCCAGACCTGCACAACCCTTGGTTACAATAGAGAGAGCGAATGTAAGAAGAAGCAGTTTTTTCTCGTTTAAACCATGAGCGCATGTTTGTCTATTAATCTCCTTTTGACACAACATTGTTAATGCAAATATACAACTACTGTTAAACGGAGAACAATAGACAAACATGCGCTGACTATGTATAAAGTCAGCGAAAAAGTGGGCGTCCTCATTATCGTACGGAGATTCAAGGAATTGTGATGACCCCCGCCTTAGAAAACAGCTTCGTACCTCGTAAATACGTACTTTTATTTAATGTAATTACATAAAGTTGTAGATTAGATGTTGACCATTCGTGCAATTTAAAGAAAAATGCTTGTTTTGAAAGTTTGTTTTGTCACAATTTTCGCATGTCCTTAAGTGCAGTCATCCTTTATATTTCTTTAATTTATTGGTTTTATTTATCTATATATTTATTTATGTATCTATTTCTTTATATCTCTTTAATTTATTTATTTATTGTCTCTGCAGCTAAATACCATAACTTCCCGCCAGAAGTCAGATGTCTACTGTACTGCTTACTGTTAACTGAGAAATATCAACTGAATCTCAATGAACAATCACACAGAATCACAAGGGACAAAATCAGAGATAGATATTTCACTGATATCACTGATGACGGCTTGGTAGATCTTCCTGATGGAATCACAGAAACACATAATGGTGTGACAACATTTATGTCAGACGATATCCGACATGACGCCATGTACGCCTTTGTCACGGAGTGTCTGGTGGAGGACAGTGATCAGGAGTTTTTCCTGACCACGGCGTCACGTGACGTGATCTCAGAATACTGCAGGTCCTGGGAGTATAAGAGGAGTGAGGGAGAGAGATGTCTGTATGTACCAGACAAGCCGAAGAAGATGTACGACCTCTTCATAGACAAACTACAGCTGGACATCATCACACACTGTACCGTGTCTGACGGGGGGATTCATGACAGTATCAGTAAACGTTGTAAGTGTATCTTTAGATCTATAATAAACAAATTAAATTGATGCAAAGCCGCAAAAAATATATTTAGCATTTTTAAGTACTTCCACAAGAAAGAGTCCAAGAAAAAATCATTTTAGAAAAAGTACATGTATATGATACATTTTTATTGCCTTTTTGGAAACTTTACACTTGCCTTACTTTTCTGTGTTGTTTTAATACTTTTGTTGTTAAATATTGGTCAAAATAAATAAATTCATCGAAATGAAAATCGGTCTGAGATAGAGAAAAGGATTAATTTGTTGAAGAAATGATTTGATTCGTAGATTAATGCAACAAATATCAAATATTTATAATTAATGTCTGAATGATGACAAAATAGGGCTTACACATTTAAAGTGCTGATACCCTGGATGTTTGTCCCGTGATAATTTGTAAATGTGAAGAGCAGAAAAGAAAATCATTTTGTTATTCACATAGTGTTTTCAAATGAAAATTTACTTTCTCTTAAACTTTTTACTATTTTTTGATAATTCTGTGATTTATATCCTAAAACTTTTATTCATAACTTTTATGAATATTATCAATAAGGAATTATCCCATCAAAACAATGAAAGACTAACATTTCATTTCCCCATGTGCACTTTCTAACACAACCAAAAATAGATCGTCCGCTCCTACGGCCGATAATAAATCCTAAATTTAACGGCAGATTTTTTCTGAATATGATTCCGTTTCAGTGTTCTTAAATTGTTTACACGGATATACCATTCTCCTTCTTGCTTTTCGTCAGCTAATGTTTACGTATTATAGCTCATGTTGTTACATGTATAATTATACATGTAAGTGTGTCAAATACACCAATTATCGGAAAATTATTTACTACGAATAAATTGAAATGCTCTGCTTACTCACACGTGTTAATTTTCGTTAATGTACATGTATAATTGTAACGTTATTATCTTTTTTTTTGGGGGGGGGGGGGGGATATATCATATTCACATACTTAATCGATGATGGTGCACCTCTTTAGCAAATAAAAAAAATAAACAAAAAATCGATGAACTATATATGTATAGTAAACTGTAATTTAATTTCATTTGACCATACTAAAAATGATATTCATATAAACTATAAACTTTTATTGTATTGTTGGGAATAGGAGGGTACATGTAGAAGTTTTAATGAATTTTTTAATAACCTTGGAGACCTAGTTACTTAAACATGTTACATGTATTCAAGCAGTACGAAAAGATTTTTTTCTTTCATATCTTTTTCGTTTTCAATCATTATAACCCACCCATTAACTCTTCCAATTGTATCTACAATAATGCATGCCAGTATGTCAGTACAATCAGAAGTAGGACTTACAAAAACACACAATTTTCTTTGCATTTTTTCTTATTTTTTATGAATTAAGGAATCAGTTCGGTCTAACTGGATGAGAGGTCTTTATTTTTCATAACAAACAATCGAAGAAGAAAAGGAAACATAAGGATTTGTTCTTTGCTTAACTGGTAGAGATACGTTTTTCTTACTGAAAATTCAAAAAGAATAAAATATGTGTATGATTAAGCAAGAAAAAAGGGACTGTTAATTTTTATTATAATAAAAGTTTCTTTGACATGTCATTTAAAATTAATGCTAACTTTATGTATAAACCCCTCAAAATACCAAATGTATATCAACTATTCGTCTATGAAATAGCATTAAACATGTTTAAAAAAGCACCAGATTTCTACCCGGCAAAAAATAAAATATAAAAAATTAGGTCTACTAAATAAAAGAGTGTTTGTTTGTTTGTTTGTCTATTGTTTAACGTCCTCGAGAATTTTTCACTCATATGGAGACGCCACCACTTGCCGGTGCAGAGCTACAAATTTTGACCTATACTCGGCACTCAGGGCCATTGAGCAGTGAGGGATCTTTTTCGTGCCAGCACCTACTGCAACACGGGACCCCGGTTTATACGGTCTCATCCGAAGGACCGGTCTCCACGTCCCACAGTGGGATTCGAACCCGCGACGTAAGGATCAACTCCTAACTCCGCGACTCTAGAGCGAACGCTCTAACCACTGCGCCACGCGGGCGACAAATAAAAGAGTGAATATTTTTAATTAGGCCAGCATTTTCTTTTTATTATTATTATTTTTTTTTTACAAACCCGCCGCTCAATTTTTTGAATTAAAAAAAAAAAGAAAAGTGGAAGTTTTTTCTTTTCGTTGTCGAATTTGTGTCGGGATCGACATTTCGAATTTACGAACTCGTACTTCCGGTTTATGATAAACATGGCGGGTAAATGAATGTATATCTGCATAGGCCATAGTATGATAGAAGCAACATAGCCATGGTTTAGTGTAAAATTTATCAATAGGAGTGCTATTCAAAACGTTTTCACCTGTTCAGAGGACAAATAAAATGCTGATGACTTTGTTTCACAATGGATTGTTGGTGAAATAATTATGTATCCGTATTCAAAAGTATCTGCATGTGTAAATTAATTTCCTCTCAAAGGTTAAAAACTGCCCATGGTAGCTATAGCCAGAGATACTGTTTAGGTATCTGAAATAACTTACAGTCTAGCCAACATTCATTAGAAAAACATTGCTTATGCATCAGATGTAATGAATAACACTTTTGAAGAAATGAAGTCCATTCGTGGGGGGGAATAAACAATAGTCTAAAAAAATTAAATATTTCATCTATTAAGAAAATTAATCATATACAATTATATACAGGCATATAGTATTGTTATGAATGTGACAGCCAGAAAAATTAGTTTACATTTAGTTGAAAAAAAATTTTGACACCTCCCCAATACATGTACTCCCTGTCTGTTACATGTATTAACAGGAATATGTAAGCTTTCGAGTATATTTTTAGAACAATTTCTAGACATTCACTTTACACATGATTAAAATAAAAATAAAGATATATTGAAAGAGTTAAGAAATTTGATTTTTTTTTTTAAATTATTATGTTGTCCAACATCTCAAAATTTATATCACTGGCCCCAACTGGCAGACGATGAAATTATCAATTTAAGTTTCTACCTGGTCCTAGTTGTAACCATTTTGTAGGAAGCGGCAAATTAAAGAACCTGTTATGAGAGCATCATAAAGGAAGCAAAAATGAACGAACAGAAATCGATAATTTATCCCCCCAAAAAAATTATTTCCCCCTCCTATGAAACTTTATAAGTCTGGTGTTCGTAAACATAAATACCAAAAAAAAAATGGTCTTACATCAGTTTAGATTTTGCAAATATAAATGTTTCTATAATTACAATTACACTTGTACCAATTCTGCTAGAAATGATACCTTTGCATGTACGTACACTTATTAATACATGCGACAGTTAACAGAGGTATGTGTGTATAAAGTAATAAAATAATGTACGTAAATGGTGTATAATTAGATTCATGATATATTTAGTGAAAATACCCAGAGAAATACTGTATTGGGACATTGACGCAAGAAAAAGGTTCGTCCAAATTTCCAGTCAAGATAGTGTGAACATGTGTCGAGCCAGAGGTATGATAGTGGGATGCACAGGCGCAGGAAAAACGACTCTTCTGAGAAGGCTTCAAACGAAAAATAAAGAAGAAAGTATACAGCCAACTGAGACGACCGTCGGCCTTGATATCCACGAGGATTTGTTCGAAATTAAAGATGACACGTTAATAGGTGATTGTTTTTCTTATGTCTTAAGACGTTTATAAATTGTTATAAATCAACAGGTTTTTCGCTGTAAAAAGTTGAACATACAAACTACATTATTTCTTTGTACAATGTAGAGAAATATGATATTTTACACTAGACATACTCAGTAATAATATAATTTGACCTCATATCTGCAATATTTATTTTTAAACTTGCATGCTTTAGTTGATAATTCTACATTTAATCTTTTCCAATGACCATTTTACCCCTGTGATATCAGTATATTGAATTATCTATATAAAAAACACTTTTACTAACATCTCATAGTCTTTTTAAAGAAGTTATAAAACAAAGTCTATCTGTTCAAGTGTCAAAAATATGTTACACAAGCGCTTCACTTTGAAAAAATATACATTATTGTGGGGTAACCATTCAATTTCAATCTGTATTTAATAGCGTAGAAAATGTTCTCTTTCTGAAATGAAATAAGTTAATATTTGCATTCTGTTTCACTTTTTTTCAGATTTTGATAAAAATGGAACCAAATCTGATAGGACCTCTAACAGCACAAGTGGCAAACAACTTATAAGTATGACGGATTTTGCTGGACAGATAGCGTATTATGCGTGTCATCAGATTTACCTCTCCAGAAGAGCCTTTTATCTCGTGGTTGTTGATATGTCTAAACGGCTGAATGAAAAAGCCATATTATACGACACCGATAGACACAACCCCTTAGGATCTTTATTTCATAAATGGACATTTGCAGGTACTCCCTTTGATAAACGAACTTGAAACATAAAAGTTTTATTGTCTATTTACAAGTTTGACTTCCATTTCATTTAAGAAGACAGATATAATCTAGAGTCAGAGAAATACATGTATACATTTTACACAGGGACAGTTGTCCAGAGATTTTTTAATGCAGTACTCTCTCCCTTGTCAACAACAAACTGGAATTATTATTAACATCATATTTTCACCATTTTCATACAGATGTACTGTAAAGAGTATTCAAAAACATCAATATTAAAGCTTATCATATATTTTGGTATATTTCTCAATTTCCATATATTGTATAGAGAGAACATGCATTATTTAAGAGTCATGCCCACCCGAAATTTATTTACCCGTGGTCTCCATTGTAACATTTCAAATATATATCTCAGACAGTGTTTAATGTTCAAAGGATTTTTGTCAGATTAAAAAAAAGCTTCCATTTTAAGGGGAAGGGTATAAGCATTAAAATATATGTTAAAAATGTCATTGACTGAAAATTGGGAATTATACTGTATTTGGCCTTTGGATGAAAAAAAAAGACCTTCGTGTGCTTGCTTTGCTTTACCAAAAAGACCTAAGTCGGTATTTTCCAAATATCATATATATAGCCTGAAATAATAAACTAGCACAGCTTAATTAATAATAAAGATATATATGGTTTGTTCTTTGCAAGATTATTTTGTGTTTTGGCTGCAATCAATTAAGACCTACTGTGAGGATGGGACATCTAAGGAAAGTCAAAGTGATGAAACTAAGGCCAACCCTGTTATCTTGATTGCCTCGCATCATGACTGCTTAGGGGTAAAAATATTTCATGTAATATTGGTTTCCTCTTTATTTTTATTTGATGCTATTCTTGCTCTTTCAGACCAACATTAATATTTTTTTGTTTGAAAAATTCTTTTGTTTCAGTCAGGAATTTGCAATCAATATTAAATTGTAAATACTGTAAAACCACATTACAGTGAAACCACATATTTTCCCGGGGGTAAGATTTTCGTGGTTTGAGGAAAAAATATTGGTTCGTGTGGATTTGATTTCTAGGATGAAGTACTGTTTAGTTGTCGTGTATATGAAATTTTACATTTCGTGGTGGACATGAATTCGTGGGTTTCCTCGTGCCTCCAAACAACGAAAACTAAACCCCCAGAAAATTAGTGATTTAACAGTACTTGAAAAATGCCTGCATTATAAACAGTATATATAGAACTTTTGACAATATCAATTAATATTTAGGTTAACTACATCATACATCAGTGTTATTCAATTCAGTAAAGTAATTCGAAGTGCTTAAATGAATTACGAATTGATAATATACTTTTCTTAGCTTATCCGTCTAGATAATCATCAAAGCTACTTTAGAAACCAGCTCATGCTCTAACATTTAATGTTGATGTTGTTGACATAATTTGGAACACACTAATTCCACTATGCTTATAAGAGTTTGATAATCTACCTGGCTATGCTACATGTATATTATATGAGGATAAATGACACATTTTGTGTTTTTCGTAAATATTAACACGCAGATATACAATTTTTATAGCAGAGGAAACAAACCACGTCCAACGAAACTGCATTCTATGATACACTAGAGAAATGTTTACCTAAAGAACATACATTGAATGATCACATTTCACCAGCACGTTACTTCGAGATTGAATGTCCACGTGGAAAATTGAATGAACATCAGGAAGAATCAATCGAACAAGTGAGAAAATGCATTGTTCATACAGCAACAAGTCTTCCGCATTGGGGTGAAAAAATTCCACATATATGGTACATGTTTGAGCAATTTGTTCAAGAACACAAAATAAAGAGAATTTGCAGTAGAGAAAGCCTACAAGCAGAGAAAGAGTTTAATTTTCTAGACGAAAATGAGTTGGATGATATGCTTAGATACTTTTCAGAGGTAGGCCAGATAATCTATTTCTCAGAAATGGGTCTGAGCCACAACATTATATTGGACGTTGAGTGGTTTGTAGGTGCTTTTAGAAATATCATAACAGATCCTACTCACGCACGCCCAGCATGCAGAAGGGTTAAAGAATGGGAAATTTTCATGAAGAACGGAATAATCTCCGATTCAACACTGGTCAAGATTTGGAGAGAAAACAAAAAAGAATCATATGTTCTTCAAAAGGATAATATAGTACCATACATGGAAAAACTTGGCATTGTTGCAAAAATGAAATCACAAGAAGTCGAGGAAGAAGACGACGAAGCGTCGGGGAAAAGACAAGAATCCCTGTACTATATCCCTAGTATCAATAAGACTGACTTCACAACAGAAGGCTTTGATTTATACAATAACGGAAATAAGACTCCGATTTTGGTTTTTTCTTTCAAAACATTTATTCCGCATTTCTTTTTCTTTAGACTTGTTGCGATATGTTTTTCGAAGTGGGAATTTTTAAGCCAGGACTGGCTTTGTAAAAACGTTGCTTTTTACAAGGAAAAGGGTGATGACATTTACATTGCTATTGCTGTTAATAAAACATCCATTCAATTGCAAGCGTTTACTCCAGAGGATAAAATCAAGCTAACAAGCGCAGATACCAAACAGATCAGAGTTCAAATTGAATATATGCTTGGGGAGCTTACCACCACATTCCATCACCAAGTTCTCTATGAAGTCGGATACGCGTGTGAAGATATAAATATCACTGAAGAAGATGAAGACTGCTTCTTACCAGAGAGAACAGTTGCGGAACTGAAAACTAATGAGCGAGTTTGCCCAAATTTTAGAAAAATGGATCATCGAAAGCATCAGATTGTTCGTGATGATCTACTGCATTATTGGTACACGGTATGTGCATTAAACAGTTTACATTAAAAATAGCAGTGTCTCGTATGGAATATTTTTTTTAATACATAATGGTGATATAGATAGAAAATGAAAAGGAAGTCGTTGATTTAATCTTCCCATGTAAGAAGTAAATTTAAGAAATTTATAGAAAACTGAATAGATATATATTTTGAATGTTATTCTTATGTTTGGTATTTCAGGGAGCTGTTAGCAGTGATCTGTTTTCTTGATTTTTGGACAAAAAAGGAAATGATTGTGAAAGCTATGACATTTCATATGTACAAAACAAGCTCTATTTTCATGTCTTATTTCTCGTAGATGCTGGTTTTCATCTCTATTTATAGTTTTTAATCCTTTAATTTAGCTATTAACTCTTGTGTTTTTTTAACTAAGTGGTCCATATCTATCCAAATAACTATTGATAGACAAATACGTATTGAATTAATGTTGTATTCATCTGCTAAGGTTAATAATCACAGGATTACACTCTGCCATTCAACTGAAAATCTACTGAAAGGTCACTGAATGACAAAGCTCTCCAGTTCAAGGACCTTTTCCAGACCTTCAGTGATTATTCAGTTAACTGACTTGAGTAATACTCACTAGGTTTATCCCTTGAATGCTGTAATGCTATTGTTGACTGATAACTTATTTTTGTTCATACAAGCATCGACCTGAGTATTTCATGTAAGTATTCATGTAAACCACATATTGCAAATTAAAAAATATATATGTATCTAAAAATATTATAAGTGCATGTATAGTATTAATGATGTAACAGGGATGAAACCCAAACCCATTCATTTTTGTGAAGAAAAAAAATGTGTTTAAATTGAACAAAAGATGTAATATTACTCACATGCTTAAAAAGGAATATGCCTGGATTCTGGAAAATAAAATATTCTAAGCATATTTGCTTACATGTATATGTCCTATTTGTTAAGAGGTAAGTGACTGGGTTTTTTTTCTATCCTTCTCATAATTTTACAACTTTACATTGAAACGGGTAATCTGAGTTTGAAATCTAGCAGGGATTATATTTTGGCGGAACTGCTGCGTATGTAAATATTTCTTTTTCTACTTTTCATATCATTACAGAACATTGAAGTTACATGTAGGTAATATTTTTAAACAATCAAAGATTAAAAGAAATTTCCTTAAAAAAATGAGATTAATGACTATGATCGTAAGTTTTAAGATAAATCAAACTGATATAATTTTCTAAACACACCACGAGATTGGCGTCCATTCTAAGAACAGCTTTGAACAAAAAAATCAGTAAAAAGAGTTGTTTATCTTACTAAAGGGTCAAAACTTTTGGTGTTTGTATTTTTTCTTCGCAGCATAGTTAAGGATACAAAACGGAGGGTTATATTACTTTGTACGGGAAATTTCAAATATGACATCACACAAAATTACCAGTTCCTGAAAATATCACAAAAGGAAATGATCTTTGATATTGAACTATAGGGGAACATTAAACAGCATTAAAACTTATTACAACATGTTCTTTTATCGTTAGTCCTTTATTAGCTGACCTGTTTTATATCCCTATCAAGCAGAATTTATTCAAAATCTTCTATTTGAGAATAGGAACACACTAGCTGTGGCCTTCAATTCGGCATTCGGATATATAGGGACTATGTTTTATCAATTAACAATGGTTATTTTCATTCGTATGTCGACTCGATATACCCCAGTAAACTTGAAATAAAAGACACCACAGAGTCTGTCACATATGTTTTATATTTGGATGTTTGACTTACTATAGACAAAAAGGCCAATTAACAATTAAGTTGCATGACAAACGAAATGACTTCAGCTTTTCCATCGTCAACTTTCCTTATTTATGTAGTAGTATTCCAATACCACCTACTTAGGGTGTTTATATTTCCCAACTTATTCGCTACTCAAGAGCTTGCTATGAGTACGATCAATTTTTAAAGCGAGGCATGCTACTCACTGATAAGTTGATGTGACAGGGATTTCATCAACCTTGTTTAAAGTCTGCATTTCGTAGATTTTATGGCGTTATAATGGTCTTGTTAGTAAATATAACCTATCATTGGGTCTTATTTGGAAGACTTGTTTCATACCATTGTTAGGCCTTTGTTTTTATTCTGAATTGACTACGGAAAGTTCCGTCTACCTGATCAATACATAGGGCTCACGGCGGGTGTGACCGGCCAACAGGGGATGTTAACTCTTTCTGGGCACCTGGTCCTTCGTCTGGAATTTTCAGGAGTCCGTGTTTTATGCCCTCTTCACATATTTGTATTGTTTATAGATTTTATGATATTGATCACTGTTCGTTATCTTCACCTTTGACATCCTGAATAACAAGTTATAAGCAAGTCACTGATTGCGATGTACTTGTCTATGTGACGTCATTCTGTAAAATTTGACGTGCCTTGTATAGAGTAAGATGCAGATCATGTAATATTTTCACAATGGAAAAATCTATCTTATATATATGACTTGCAGGAGAAAATTCACATGGAGGAGATGTTTTTTTTTTTTTTATGATTTTATACATAAGTTTTCCGTACTTCACGTAATTAAGTGATACAGCCGTATATTTGTATGCAGATACATTGGAGTTTAATGTAATAATTCTAATAAATCGATCTGGTGTTATTTTTTCAATTAAGTTATTAGTTTAACTTAAGAATCTCTTACGAAAAATCTTAAGTGTTTTTCATGAACGCATTCGTAGCAAATTGAATATAATATTTTCTTTACGACAGACGTCTTTCCTAGCATCGATTTCTGTATGCTTTATAATCATTAAAAAGTGGATGACAATAATATTGAAACGAAGTTTTCAACACATTTAAATGAAACAAACCTATGGACAACAGAAATCAAGTGAAATCGATAGTAAAGCAAGGAAGTCTGAAATCTGATTTCAAAATCACAATTCTGACATCAAAGTAGGTCATACAAAAACATACGAGAAATAGCAATAATTTTGCAATATATTTCATTTATTTGTTCGACAATAACAGTGAAAAAATATAAAATGCTATTGTAGGGTTCGTAAAAAAAAAAAAAAAAATCAATCAATGAAATGTGCATTTTCGTGTTTTCTGTTATATTTTACATCATTATTTTTTTCATGAAATTTTAGTAAATGAACCTGTATGTACGTCTTGTGAACTTTGATATAACATCCATAAATTATAGATTTATGTTTTCGTTGTTCCCTGATGTCTTAAAAATGTTGTGTATAACTATTACTTAAATTACGGAAATGCTTAAAACTCACAATGAATCTAATAGAAAGTAAAGTATGCATTACTTGTTCAATTTCCTTCTGCATGAAAATAGTCAGACACTTCTTCAAAACGCATTTGTTTTTGTTTTTTTTGTTTTTTTTTTTTTTTGTTTTTTTTTTTTTTTTGTTTTTTTTTTTTTGATGAATATGAACATTAATTTTATACATTCACTTTAAAAGATATTCATTCCGTTACTTTAGATTCCAAATGTCCCAGCAGTTTTCCTTAAATAATTTTGATGTTTAAAATCTTTTAAAAGGCTTTTATCGTATGGAATCATTTCCATTAGATTGCATCAGAAAAAATAAATGGAAAGAAAATTTTTCAAAGAGTATTTAAATGCCATATTCTTCCTTTGCTGTTTTAGTGGTAAAATACGAATTCAATTTTATTTGTTTGATGTAAAAATCATAATAATACTAACACTTTTGTTTTCTTTTTTATGCCCACATAAGCGATTATTTATAGGCATCTAGTTTTTTCCTCTGTCTATTCGTCTGTCTATTTGTCTACAAAACTTTAGCCTTCCCCATTACCTTTCATTTGTTGTGTTAGGGCTTTCATTTTTTACATGTACATGTATTTTTCTTGTGACAAGACCTTTCCACGTGTACCAACATGTTTGATCTCCTTCTTTAGACTATTTTCTTTTCTATAAAATTCAACAAGACTTTAACTTAGGTCATATGTTTTACGATAGGATCTAGGATTTGATTTTTCCTATGTTCTTGTTACGAAAAAAAAAATCTACGGTTCCAACTTATTTGAAGTTTGACTCATTTTTGGAAAAAAAAACCTTGGCCATAACATTTCAATAGTTGGTGCTAGGGCTTTCATAATTTACAAGGCTGTTTTTTTGGTGACAGGACTTTCCTTTGGATACAAACACTTAATTTTACCTAACCTTTTGACCTTGATCTTGGAGTTTAATTTACTTTCAAAGAAGATTAACTTTGATTATAACTTTTTAACCGTTACTGCTAAGGCTCTCATATATATATATAGCACTAAAAATGACCAACGACACGAACAATAATTATTATTGTTCGTGTCGTTGGTCATTTTTAGTGCTTTATATAAATTTCCATCCGTGACCTTGTATCTACTTAGTAGATCCGACACTTAAGATATACAGTGTTGTTGGTTTTTAGTGCTTTATATATATATATATATATATATATATATATATATATATATATATATATATATATATATATATATATATATATATATATATATATATATATATTGTGTTTTTCTTGTGAAAGATGATTTCTTGGATACAATACCTTTTGGCCTTGGACTTTAGCCTACTTTTAAAAAAACTAACCATCAGGCCAACTTTAAAAGTATGTTTGCTTGCCATCTCTCGACTCAGGATGAAAAAAAATGAGTTGGTGGGTAGGTGAGATTTTTTTTTTTTTAAAGCAGATTTCAAAATCAATGCTGAATTTTCAAAGTCTATTGTCCGGAATTCATAGGTTAAAACAATAGTGTTGGGCAATTTTTAACCAGTCATTCTGGAGAGGATATAATTAGTTTATTCAGGATATAACTTTGGGCAATACAGCCCATCAGTTTACAAAAATAACATATAATAACATATATTACAAAATTTAAGACTCTCAGTGAGCCTAAATTGGGGGGTGAAACCCCTGGTCAAGTGTTCCTCAGTCCCACAGTTCCACTCATTTATAATATACAATAATATATATTGAACAAATTAAGTACAATACAATAAGCAGCACAATACATAATTCAAAGTTATAATACAATATATAGCAATGATGTTTTAATGTACAGACATCTGAAAATATAAACTTTACATAGATAGAAATTAGGTTAACCTGATTGATCTTCGTTACGTAATATTAGAGCATAATGAATATATTTCCCTAAACCAACTAAAGTAGATATGCGGTTGGTACCCAACAATTGGATTAATTTAAAAGTACTTGGTGATTTTTAATAATATTCATTTATATATTTTTTTCTTAAATTTAGATATCTAGGGCATTGAAGAATGAAATGGAATTCGTCTTCTATTTCACGTGTATTACAAACATCGCATAATCTATCCTCTCTACTTTTGCCTTGATACCTTCCGCATTCTATGTTAAGATAGTGAGACGAAAGTCTAATGCGGGAAATATGTTTTTTTAAATTACTCTGAAAAGGTTTTGTTAAATAGGATTGCATTTTACAGAAGTCAGATTGGACAATATGTTTATATAGAAAGCATTTTGACGAATTATCCATAAATGCAGTGCACTCTTGGAGGTATATATCTAGGATTCTATTTTTATACACGTGCATAAAATGAGCAAAGTTTATTGCTTGCTGTTTTATCCAAAATTCTCCCAGACCCAATCTAAATAGTTCCAGTTTTACATCACGCGCCCAGTTTATACTTGTTCCCGACCCATTCTCTGCATCATATCGCAGGTATTCATAAGAAGATTTTAAAATGCAGTTTTCTGTTTTTAATAATTTACACCAGAATTTCATAATTTTCAATTTCCTTTGTATAATAAGTGGATATCGTCCCAATTCTCTATAAATCATATAATTGCATACATTGCGCCTAACACCGAGGGTAATTTTACAAAAGGATAAATGCAGTCTTTCAATTTCC